GCGGGGTCTGGCCCCCTGGCTGGCGGAGGCGATGCGGTGCTGGCCGCGCCCGGGGCGCTGGCACTGAGCGGCGGGCGCTGGGCTGCAGCCGGGCAGTCCCGGTGCCGGCAGGATGGGTTGCGGGGGGAGCCGAGCCGATGCCATCGAGCCGCGCTACTACGAGAGCTGGACCCGCGAGACCGAGTCCACCTGGCTAACGAACACCGACACCGAGCCCCCGCCGCCGGCCTGCGGCCACGAGAGCGCCCGCGCCGAGGCCGGACTGCGGGACCAGGGCGCGCCGCACCCGGGTGAGTGCTGGGCTGGGCGGTCCCCGCGGCCGCAGCCAAAGCCCCTCATCTCCTGCCCCGCTCCCCTCCCTCCGGCTCGGTCCCCGGGGCGAGCTGGGGTCCCCCGCCGGCTCTGAGCTGGGGCGGGTTGGCTGGCCAGCCATCGTCCCTCCTTCCCTCCGGAGCCTAGGAGCGGGCACAGCTCCGTAGCATCTGCCCCGGGGGAGCTTCGTGTCAGTGAGCCGCAGACCCCGGGCCGGCAGGACAACCGTCTTTGCACCAGCGGCCCGGCTGATCTGCTGCGAACCTGGCCGGCAAACAGCATCTGTACATCTCGATGAGACAAATGCGAGGGGTCGGGGAGATCTCTTGTTAAGGCTTCCTCCTAGCGATCTGTGAAGTATGGGCCATTTCTGTCTCTCATGAGTATACCACGGTATTCCCCCAGTTAACCCAGCCCTAGTTATTGGAAATTCCCGCTGAAGCCTAACATCTGGCACATAGAAAATGTCCTCACGTACGTGAAACACCAGTTATTTGAATCCACCATCCCCAGGATGGACGGACAAACGGTCTGTCTGAATCTCTTTATTGTTCTGGTAAGAGTTTAATCAAATGCGTGGACACGGGTTTGCAACTAGCACCAAAGCGGTATTATATATAGTCTATTTCTCTTTTTTCCCCTTGGGAAAAGATGCTTTTTTACGCCTATTAGGAAATGCAGGTATCTACGTCTGCACTTTAAAAACTTCGGGTTTGTACAGCAGCACCGCACCGTGTATCAAAAAAACCCTTCACTGGTCTCATAACCAATATAGTTTCTCGTAGTTTCCAGTGGACATGGAAAAGGAGGAACTTTCACATTCCTGCGCTTTTATTAGAAAAAGCTTGTTCTCTACCTACCACACTTTGATAATGATGCTTAATTTTTTGAGGGAGAACATATAAATGGCATTAGTTTTGTGATAATCCCATTGGAAGAGAATGTGGCTATATGGTCTCTTGGTGCAGAATAAATGACCATGCAAAACAAGAAACTGAGGAGTATATTTTAAAAGTTGCACAAATCAGCCAACCCTCCCTTCCTTAAAACCCCTCTGAAAATAAAACTCAATGGACCATGACATTGCAGAAAATGAAATTGACCTAACAGTGTGAAATAAGGCAATGGGCCTGCAATTTTGACTTTTTATTTTTAACATTTGTCACATTGTTAACCAGCAGTGGATCTAAGAATTTGCAATGGGGAAAGACAGGGTGAGGGAGAAAGGGGAGGTGAGATTCAATATGCAAGTCTTAGATAAATTAGATTCTCAGGGCATTTCAATCTGCCTATGGAATCATAAAGAGGAGAGAGAAAACACTCAAGTTATTCTTCTGTTTTTCTGGCAGTCTGGGATTGTTCTTACAATACATTTTTCTATATTGTTGGAGCTGTGTTGGTCCCAGGATATTAAAGAGACAAGATAGGTGAGGTAATACCTCTTATTGGACCAACTTCTGTTGGTGGGAGAGACAGGCTTTCGAGCTACATGGAGCTCTTCTTCAGGTCAGCTATAACTTCACCCACCTTGTCTCTCTAATATATATATTCTAGTGTTTTGTCCACTCAAGTTTTAAATGCTCCAACTGATGGAACTACCACCACCTCCTTCAAGATGGTAAGTTCTTGGGATGATGTGCCAATATGTGACAGGGTTGCTGGTTGCTGCTCCTACTACATTTTAGGTATTATCACAGTACAAATGCTGCAATAATAATAATAATAATAATAATTAATAATAGTTAACTTAATTCTATTGGGAGACTATTTCTTAGCTATATCTCACTGTCAGGAATTTGTCCTAATATTCAAACCTTGGTTTTCCCTTTCTTGGTTACCCTGTCATTCCTAGTAATACTCCCATGTACCACAATAAATAATCTATCTCCTTCCTTGGTATTAATATCTGTCAAAAATATTTTCATAATGCTAGTACATCCTTCTTTCTCTCTGCCAGAATATTTAGCTCTATTTATGTACTTGCACTATAGATAAATGTGTGTGTAGCCAAACCTATGATATTTCATAACATTTTGGCATAACTTTTTATTAAATAAAATCGCAATTCATTACTGTATGTCTTTTTTTAATCTTCTGTCCCCCTCCATATTTCACCTTTCCTTTCTTCCTGTTTTAGTTTATTTTCTTTAGATTATTTATCAGTCTTTTTACATCTTTTTAACATGAATGTTTAAATAAACTAATAAATTTCAACATCTCTGTATTTTTCACAAGAGTAAATACAGAACAATATTAATTGTTATAAACCAGTAAGTGAAATATTGAAAACTGTAAAAGAACAGATCCTTTGTGCTCTGACCAGGATCATAACAGAAGTAAAATATACTCAGTAGCAATTCATGAAAGTCCAAAGCTGAGCCTTTGGCTACATCTACACTACAGGGGGGAGTCGATTTAAGATACGCAAATTCAGCTACGTGAATAGCGTAGCTGAATTCGACGTATCGCAGCCGACTTACCCCGCTGTGAGGACGGCGGCAAAATCGACCTCTGAGGCTTCCTGGTGCCGGGGCTTCATCTCGCCC